GAATTTCAGAAAATTGAATTGTCTATAAATTGTTTTACGGAGAATTGTCAATTATTGTGTTGATTGGTATAAATTTTCACTTGAAAATGTTGAAATAGAAGTGTTTTTGGTGTTCATTTGCCTTTGTTTTACATGAAAATTGTCAATTAAAGAAATAAAATTTACTGATATTGAGGATAAAATTTGTTTTCATTATCAAAGAAAAGAAAATCATCTATCTTTTGGTATTTATTTAACTTTGTTTTATATGAAAATTGTCAATTAAAGGGAAAAAAAATTTACAATTAGGGAAGAATTTGTTTTCATTGTAAAAAAATAAAATAAAAATAATAGTACCCTAGAAAATCAATTCCCACCATATTGATGGGAATTGATTCAAGCAAAACAAAGAAAATTCCAACTTCCAAAAAAACGAAATTCCATGAAAAAAATATGCTATCAAACAGCCAAAAAGTGAAAATTTGAATTTGAATTCTATTTTCCATAGAAAATATAGTGCTATCAAACATGGCCTAAATTAATTGGTCACAAAATATTTTTCGATAACAAATTAATAAATTATGAGTCACAATCACAATTTTTTGCTCACAAATTATTTATTGGTCACAAGTTATTCATTTATTGGTGACATTATTTTTTGTCACAAATCAACCAAATAAGTGTTCCCCACCCCAATCCTACCACCAGCACGAATTCATGGTTACAAATTATCATCAAACTAATTGGTCACAACAATCTTCATTCCACTTCCACTCCAAACCTAATAGTTGGTCACAAATTAATCAAATGATTACAAATTCCCAAATAATTGGTCACAAACGCTCTTATCCAACGCTGCCACCACATTACCACCGCAAAATCACCATCACCACAATACCTCCACTGCCACTGCCAACATTACCACCACCACCACCACAACCTCACCATGGCCTGCACGACCACCACCATTTTCAAACCACAAAAAAACCCCAAAACCACCTCATGTTGTCCTATCTATCGTCGGCCAGATTGAGTCAGTCGACAGCATCGGCCATCATAATTTCACCATCACCTCTCCAAATCAACAAACAAATCACCAATGGCATCCACCAAAATCAAACCAGACCACAACATGCCATGTTCTTTGTACAATTGCCATTTTTCCCAATCTCTCATCTCTCACTGTTATTTGCCATCTCTGCCCAATTCAACCTACAAGAACTACCAATTATCGTCGACACCTCCTCCCAAAACCAAAACCACAATCACCTCACACACCACCACATTGATCTTCAAAACTAGATCTCCCCATTAACAAAATATGTTAATTTTCAGACAAGCATTCCAGTCTGTAACACGAAGATTGTAGCTGGGTCGAGCAACGTCACTGAGTGGAGATTGCCACTGGGCATAGCAACGCTGGGTGGAGATTGCAGTTGTACTGTACCGCTCGTAGTGGCGGTGATAGTCTGTTGCGCACAGCGACAATATGTCGCTAGACTAGCAATGGCAGGGTAGGAGGGAGAAGAGAAAAGTGAGAGATAGGTTTAAAATTGGGTGGTGTGAGGCGTGTGGTTTATAGATATACTTAATTTTACAATATTGCTAATATTAAAGAATGGAATTATTAAATAATTAGTTATAAACTGAATTTTAAAATATGAAACTTAAAATATAATTTATGAAAGTAAATTTCTAAAAAGGTCTCTATGTGTAATTTCCACTTAAATTTAACATAATTCTGGATATTGTCATCAAAAAGACTTTCTAATACTTAAAGAAATATAGATTACGTGGTCGTGAAAAAAAAATATAGTCTTCTTGTTCCTAGGTAGATGATGTTAGACTTTGTTTGATTCCTATTTTTTTCAAAATACATTTTTCTCTCTTCTTGTCAACTATACATTCTTTATTAAAATAATATTACACGTAAATAAATTTTATTTATTTATTTTTCAACCATACATTTCCAATCACTTTACTATTCTAAAATGCACGTTTTCATGAAAATGAGGCTCAAATACCAATCTAGAATTGACCTATTGTAATAAGGATAGGAAAAAATACAACAGCAGTTTCTAACCTTTCATTTTTTTTTTATTTTTTTTATTTTTTGCAAACTTTATCCTAATCTTCACTTTATACCATCCACAATCTCAAACATTTCAAAAATATACACTTAGAGTCCAAATGGATAGTTTTCCATCAATTTGACCATTAGTTGATTAGAAGTCAAAATTTAATCAATTTTGACCAGATTAGAAATGGTAAAATGGTATTTTACATTTTCCTTGCATTAAATAAGTTGAAAAATTAAATTAAAAAACTAAAAGATAAAAATAATTTAAAAAAAAATAAACATCTTGTCCACCACCACTGACTCTGCTTCCCCAAAACAAGTCCACCACCGTCACCACCTACAACATCCACCAACACCCAACTCTCCTTTCCCAACATATACTATCCACCACCACCTGACTCTCTTTTCCCAAAATCAGTCCACCACCATAGCCCATCGTAGCCTACAACAACCACCACCACCTAACTCTCCTTCCCCAAAACATCTTTCCACCATCACCTGACTTTTCTTCCCCAAAATCTGTCTACCAACTTCGCCCGTCGTCGCCTACAACAGCCACCACCACTTGACTCTCTTTCTTTTCCTAAACATCTTGTCCACCACCACCTAACTCTCTTTTCTCCCCAAAACACCTTGCAGGATGAAGTTGAGATAAAATCCAAAACCCAAATAGAATAAAATGAAAAATGAAAAAGCAAAGAAATTGAGATCTAAGGTGGGAAATCGAAAGGATCTTCTTAGGTTCAATGGACTGACTCTGGGGATCGACGCCAGGGGTTATCATGTTTGGATGGTGGTACATATTGACGAGGACAAGAGTCGACGAGATTGTAGAACGGTTGTGGATGCTGGAGCAACAATCCTTTTCTGTTTCGAATATGGAGGCCAAGTGCTTCGTCGAATGTGGTGCAATCGTAGGATGACATTGTTGATGGCCGATTTCTAAGTAGGGGTGAGAAAGAGTGGTACCCAGCGTTTGGTTTCTGATTTTTATTTGTTTATTTATTTATTTTTTAAAAATTCTTATTTTTTTAACTTATTTAATGTAAGGAAAATAGAAAGTACCATTTTACCCTTTCCAATTTGGTCAAAATTGATTAAATTTTGACTTTTTTGGTCAACTAATGATCAAATAGATAGAACCATCCATTTGGACCTCAGGTGCATATTTTTGAAATGTTTGAAATTGTGGATGACACAAAATGAAAGTTAAGATAAAATTTGCAAAAAAGTGAAAGGTTAGGGACTGCTATTGCAATTTTCTCATAAGGATATGTAATTTTAAATATAAGACCAAACTACATAGTCTGCGCGGGTGACCGCATGGTTAACATAATACACACACATGGGGGTTGAAATTATTTTATTCATGGGGGACCCACGTCGGCCATGTGAGGATGCGGTCACCCGAAATGTTAACAGCGTGGGTCGTTTGGCTTTTTCTTTAAATATATGGATATGATTTTATTTAAGATGACATTCAAACAAATGTCACTTTGTTTGAGCCCCATTTTTCAAAAAATTATTTTTTCAAAATTCATTTTCAACCACACATTTTTCAATAAAATAATTTTACAAGTAAAATGAAAGTTTTTTTTTTTAAACCACATATTCTCCAAAAGCTCACTATTCAAAAATACATTTTCTCCCAAACAATGATTTAATATTTTATATACATTGTCATATCAAAATTTTTCAAGTCAACAAACACAGATGTAAGTGCATCTCTGATCCTACTGTGAATTGTACTAAAAGGTAGCTCTACAATTTCATTAGACTATATTTATATTTATAAATTTATATAAAATGCTACCTGTCTGGGAATCATCTCCTTTCTTTTCTTTTCTTTTCTTTCTCCCTCGTTTATTTTCTTTCTCCTATTAAATTTCCATTAGAGATGAAACTTGAATTGTAGAGGAACTCATTGGAAATAAATTTTGACGTAGGCCATTCATTATTTATTAAAACCAAGTAGAATAGAACTTTTTCTATTTGAATAATGTCATTCGTCTAGAGTTTAGACGATTATCGATTTATGTAATAGTAGAGTCACTGTGTACGCTGTTCAATGTGTAAAATATATGATCATTTAGACTCTAGTGCTCTTTCTATTTAGATACCAAATAAATTATAATCCATGGAATGCATTAGAATAGCTGATGAATTAATAATACTAAATATTTGTAACCAATATAAAATTTATCTGAAAGTTCAATATCCTCGACTGTCTTTAACACAATACAATAGTACAACATAATAAATACCATGTTTAAACCTATGCCACACTCTGATGTCTGAAACTCAAGAACACCTTTGCATTTCTTTTTTTCTCACAATATTCACTAATATTCTAGCACACAAGCAACTCCTTGAAGATCCACCATCAATACGGCCTTTCCCCAATATAATTTCCAGGCGGATAATAATTACAAGTCATAAACACATCTCCACTGTCACAAATAACTCGAGCACACCCAATTTTCCTCGTATCTTTCCAAACAATCTGTGTGTAATGTCCACACATCTGCCCTTCTTCACAAGAATTTGTTTTATAAGTATAATATTTCTCTTCATCGGCCCAAGCACCAACAGCATCCATCGGAGTCCACGTCGACCCACTTCCCCAATATATATTCTCCCCAAGCTTGAAGTCATCTTCAGGGAAAGAGTGCATCAGTCGGCAATCTTCTCTTCTCTGTCCTGCCCACCATTTTGCGTAGTTTTCTAGTTTACTGTCCCACATAAGAGGAAATTCCAGTTTTGCTGCTCTTACTAAATTGTGTCCATACAAGAATTGTATAGCCTCTCCAATGCAATTCCAGCATAGCTGCTTTGAGATTTTGTATACAGTTGCATTATCGGGACGTTTCTCGGTGGTCACAGTGGGTGGCTCCGCCAGTGTGCGGGGAATGGCTGCGAGAGTCATGAGCAAAAGTAATAGTACAGTCTTCATTTTTCTAGGTTATTGCTAAAACTTTGGATGGGGTCACTGAACAATATGCCTTGGGGTATTTATATAGAAAAATATAATGTTTATAAATACACCATATTTAGTTCATGTATGACGCAATGCGAAATAATGAATCCAAGCGAAAATCTTAAAAATCAGAAATCTAGAATCCACTAGAGAATAAAAGATAAATTCAAAAAGTTTTATGAATTCAAAGATGTTCAAAAGTAAATAATTTTTTATAAGGGTTTAAATGAAAACATAGATCAAACGAAATAAAATTGTAAAGATTTTAAAATAAACTAAATGACAAAAATAGTGCTAAAACATAAAAAACAGTTTTCGAGTCCTAAACGAACTTTGAGGTTCATCTTGTCATTTTGTTTCAGAAAATGTATTATGGGCCCAAATCTGAGCTCAAACACCAAATTTGCAATTTACTATTTTTTTCCTTTTCGATTCAATCCTCAATCCATTCGATCATATGTTCTACACCAATGTAGATTGGACGGACCAAATTTTCAACATACGTTTTGGATTTGGTTATTGTCCTCAAGTGCATGAAACAAAAGTAATTTGCTTCGAAAGGATATGATTTGCAGGGATGGAGAAACTGGAACATGCATTTGCGTTTGTGGTGGGGCCAAATGAGAGATTATTGGTTGATGGAAAGTTGGCCGGAATTTTGTAATGTAAAAAAGAATTATTGAAAGGGTCTCGTGAAGGATACGAGGGTCCATATGTTAAACCCGTGAACTGCCTTCATTTTCCTACAGGACACTACGGTCGCCAGTGATAGGACACGTAGCAATTTAATGATACAAAGAATTATTCTTTTTAGCCAACGATCGGTGGTTAAATTTTGGCTCTTATAGGAAGATCGTGAACATATATTGATATATTAATAATTTCAATTTTCAATGTATTAATTTCTCTTTCAAAAATGATTCGATGATGATATATTTCAATAAGGTTTCTCTCCGATGTAATTCCTACGAGGATCGTAGTTACAAGTCATGAATACAGTCTTTTCATCGTTATATATCACTTGAGCACATCCTATTATTCTAGTTTCGCTCCAAACAATTTGGGTATAATCCCACATTCTTGTCCATAGGCACAAGAATTCGACCAGTAGTTGTACACCCGTCTGTCAGACACCCACGCCGCGGCAGCTTAAGCCGGCATCCACCCATTCCCACAGCCCCAAAAAGTATTTTCCTCATATGGGCCGTTGGAGTGCTCCAACTCTTAATCCCGACTCCTTTGATTTGCATACCATTTTACATAATGCGCTAATCTCGCATCCCCACGTCAGTGGTGCAGATCGCGCTGCATTTTGAGAAGCCAAAAATTGTTTCACATCACTTCGTGTTGTGATTGCACTGTTGTATGAAAATGTTAGGACCAAAATGATGATGAAAATATCGCACTTCTTCATCTGGTAACTCAGTATACTTTTGTATCATCTTAATATTTATAAGGAACCATAGGGCGGTTGAATGAGTCGGACCATGGGGTGGCACCCATGTTTTTAAAACGATTACCACACATTTTATGGAACTTTAGTTTTTTCATCATAATATAAATAACATAATCTATATTAAAATAAAGTTAAGATTAGTGAAGATTTTATTGCATAATAAATTATAGTCTATCTGTTGTGAGAAATTCGTCTAATATGTGCTTCTAACTCAAAATTCCAATGGGTTCCTTTACTTTTGTTACTCATTTGTGCATCACCTCACGTGATTGCTAGCAAGGATTTTATATTTAAAAACGATGAATTCTCTCTTAAATAGAACAATCTATATCAAATTAACATGCTTAATAAGTTAGAGTGAACAAAAAAATATATATATAAATAAATAAAAATAAATCTCAAATCTAGTAAATTGAATTGAAACCACGATTAGAATAAGTTGATATGGATACATGCGATTTAAGTTCTGGTAGTTTCAAAATCGAACCAAACCATTGGGGAAATGTTTGATTTAGGTTTTGGATACTTAAAAATCGTTTGAAATCAAATCGAACTATTAACCTTTTTTTAAAAAAAAAATCGAAATTTACTCGTTTAGATGATTTTAAACTAATTGTTAATCAAATTGAATTGTCAAACTGGATTGATTTGATTTGTAAAAAATAAAATAAAATAATAATAATAATAATAATAATAATTCTAAAACCATTTGAAAATGTATGCTCAAAAAGAACTGCGTTCACTCCAACGATAAACCATTCCCATTTTTCTCTAAAAATAAAAATAAATAAATATTTTCCAATAGACTCAAAAGCTCAATATCTGAAATATAGGCTATTTAACTCCATTTTTAACCATTAGTAATTCATGTAACAAAAATAGAATACAAGTGAATTAACAAAGAGTTGGAAAAATCTGGGTGATGCGAGGTTTTGCTCTGAGAATGGATACTAGCTAGGTTGTTGTTGACCTCGATTTATGTAGGGGTAATGTGGCCAACAGATCCTAACTGTTTCAATGTCCATGTAAGTTTATATAATGTTCACTGAAGCAAACCATTAGGGCGGTGCTTAGAATGGATACCGGCTTAGTTGTTGTTGACCTCGATTTTTATAGGGGGTGATGTGGTCAACAGATTCTAGCTGATTCAACGTCCACTGCACATTGGAGCAAACTGTTAGTGCCTATGACCAAACCACAAGCTATCATTAATATATAAGTCGCTCATAATTGGGTGTTTAATAGAGGATAATAGTGAATATTATAGTTTGAGAGTTTAGACTTCATTATTCCTACAATTATCCAAGGTTTGAACTTTTATAGTAGAGGGTAACAAATATGAGCCATCGGATATATGTACACGTGGCTTCATCCTCGTGGTGGAGCTTTCTTGTTGGATGTCAATTAGTCATTTTAGAGCCATACTGCATTGAGTGTCATGATAGTGTTGCAGGCCTATGTTTGACATGTAAGACTAGATTCGACTTATTTAACTGAATGGAGCCACATATTTAGTGAGTTGTCAAATCATTCATTTGCAATAAGATTATGTGAGGTTTTTTTTTTTTTTTTTTTTTAACGAGGTGTTCCAGCTTGCGCCAGACTATATCCTCGTCCCTGAACCTTCGGCCCCTCAGCAGCTCAGAGAGGTAAATCGCGGGATGTGCCCTTGTTGGTTCCCAGGTTCCCACATGGCATTTACTCCTTCCCCAAAGGGAGCCATCCTCCATAGTGATTAATCCACCAATAATTCCTCCTTTATTGGATCAAAGGTTTCCATTAGGAATCGAACTCCCCACGCTTGGTTCCAGAGCCCCCCAATGTGATTGTTCCGCCAACTTGGATGTGCCCCGGGGGGCTATGTGAGGTTTCTTTATTAGGTCTGCTGATCACTTAAGTTAAGGGGGTTCAGTTGTCTCATGGGTTCGGACACTCATCGGTTCGACCAAATTATCTCGTCTTTCTGTGACGTTCTGCCACCTGATTTAATGAGCTTCTACCATGTGGCTTTTGGGGGGGGGGGGGGGGGGGGGGCGGGGCTGGGGGGGGGGGGGGGGGGTAGAGCCTCGTCAACGAGGCATAACAGTAGTGATGCACAGATCGTGTTCTTGATAACATTATCGTCTTAGGTGGTGTAATTAGGGATGCAATAGTTTCAATGCTCATGGCATTTGGTGTCAAGACAACCGAATGCAATTCCTAAGAGGATGCCGAGTTTATGACACTTTGATTTGGGTTTCAATTTGCAGTTGACCGCATGGGTTGACCCGCATGGGTTGACCCACATGGGGTCATGTAAGGTCATTACACCACAAATTTTTTCGTTTTCCCCCCTTTAGAAAATAGCCTTTTTTTACCCTTTTACGATATATTTTGACGTACTCATTATTGAATGTCAAAGGAAATTGAAACATTGCATTCTTAATATCATTTTGAAGTGTTTATGATTTAGTTTTTTGTTTGTTAATGGCGTGCAAAACGAACTGTAGCAAAAGTTATGACCAATCCAAGTAGACCGTTCTAAACTAGTATTTTGAAAATTTTGATAATATGTCAACTTTCAAAATTTGCCAATGATCATATACTATCCTAATCCACAAATCGCATATGTTATCTAGAAGTTTGTTTTGAGAGCTGCATCGTAGTCATATTGAATGATCCAAACGAATATAAAAAATAGTTAAGCATGTGTCAAATGTACGCCTTAAGAGAAACATCTAACTCATCTTTTCTCTAAAAATTTTCAATTATTTTATTAACGTATATTATTTTTTCACGATAAATTTTTCGGTATAATTTATATAATTTTATTATGACTTTTTACGTGGCATATTACGTCAAAAATTTTAGGATAATTACGAATTAAATGTAATTTGAATTACTTTTGCATTAAATTTAAATTTCATTTGTTTCCTAGATTAAATGTGAATTTAATTTCAATTCATTTACTTTTTACATTCAATTTGATTTACTTGTCGTCAGCTCAACATTTGTCAACGAAATGATAACAAGACTATACAAGTAGTAAATTCATTTAATAGTATTGATAATTATATAATTATTTTAATTAATATTATATTGATATTAAAAAAATTACACTTTAAATTTTGACCTCACAGTACAAAAGTTTGGGTTCGTCCTTGGTTGACCAAGGGCCGCACCTTCAAGTAGCCGAAGCAGAAGCATGGGATCTGCTTCGAAAGTTGTTTAAGGGCTGATGTCGAACTACCATCTAACAACTAATTTTTTATTTTTTATTTTTTATATTTTGATATTGTAGTGTCATTAAATCTCCGTTTGGCCCCTTTTTTGAAATGAAAATGAGAGGAATGACGTTTTTTTTTTTCAAATAAATAGTTGAAAAAGAAGGAAAATTTTTTCTATTTACGTGTAATATTATTTTATGAAAAATTATATGATTGAAAATAGGAGAGAGAAAAATGAAATGAAATTTAATAGGGGTCAAAAATTTTTTTCGATTTACGTGTAATATTATTTATGGAAGATTGTATGATTGAAAATAGGAGTGAGAAACATGAAATGAAATTTAATAGGGGTCAAATGAGGGGCCAAATCAGGTGTAGTATGTGCAACT